ATATGTACAACTTCCTTGGAGTGTGAGGATGCTATTCCAATACTTGGTATGCTTTGAAACCTTCTGTACCAAGCTGCAGAAGTCCACCTGCAAGAGGAAGAAATGAAAATGGCCAAACTGGTTAGAGGAGTTACAGTCCACTTCTAATGCTTTGGATAGTTTGGATTGATGGTAAGGAAAGTGTTTGAACTGGTTTTGGCCAAGATGCACGATGGAAATGAGTTGTGGGATTCAAGTTGCAGAATATGCCCTGTTTTGCCACAAAGCTGTGATTTTCTGTAACTGGATGGATGAAGGGTTGTTTGGTCGTGTTTGAGGTCAGTTAGGAAGTGTAAAATGCGAGGACAAAGTTTTCTTAAGGTTTTGTTTGCTGAGATGAAAGTTCTTGTACCAAATGCAAGTTTTCTTACACTTTAAGCAAGAGATGGAAAGTTGGTGTTTCTAGCCTGTACAGGCCCCCATTCTATGCTGAACCACTTAGTCTTGATCAGTGTAATTAGCTCCTAAACTTGTGCCAAAGATATTTCAAATGTACTTGCTTGGATTGTATTTTGACATAAAGTGAAACTTTTCCAAAATGGATAAAATGCTTTATCTAAAAATGGATTAAACCTTTATGCAATGCTTGAACACATAGAATATGGTCTTGGCACAATGAGTTTGCATTAAATTTATGAGTGTAAAAGAGATTTAGGGCCTGTAATCAAGTTGTGCAAGCTGATTTGAAAAATTGCACAAGTTATGAACATGTACATGGCCATGAATCAAAGTGACTTTTTCCCAATTTGCCAAATTCGATTCTCCCTAACCATGAGGTTGTTTGATGAGTTCTTGGACATTTTGGAAATCTTGGAATGTGTACTACAATCCATCTTTGAAGTGCAAATTGAAATACCAAGTGGAAGTATATGAAAAATGGTCTTGAAGTTAGGTAAAAATCTTGCCTAAAATAGGTCAAATTTTCTCTAAGTTAAGAATGGTTTGGCACCCTTGTTCCAAAAATTGTAACTTGAGATAAAAGCCTCTTTTGGGAAAACTTTGTGAATCAAAGTTGTAGATTATGCAATAGGCTACAACTTTCATGTTTTGACTTTTGCTTGAATCCAAATGAATCTTGGTGAGAAAGTGGGACAAAGTTAGGAAAAAATTAGGGTTTTTCATAACTTAGAAAAATTCTAAGTTATGAAAAATCTTCATTTCAAACCCTAATTTGCAATTTTGGATTTCTTGATGAACAAGTTTCATGATTTGGCATGTTTTGATGAAAAATGAATCTTGACTCTTGATTTTGACCAAAAAGTCAAAGTTTGACTTTTCAGTATACAGTCAAAATTGATCAATTGACTGGGAAATTCAACTGTCAATCTTGTGCATTTGGGATCTTTTGAACTTTTTGAGCATGTCAAGACAATTCCATGGGGTCCTTGAGTCCATATCTGAGCTTGGTTTGCCATTGGCTAGGTCAAACAGTCAAAACCCTAAAAATGACCATTTTGCCCTTTTGGTGATCTGATCAAATTTCTTGTGGAATTGTGATCCAAACTTGATCAAATGGTCCATGTGAGTTCATAATGTTGATGTGGGTCAATTTTCATGAGATTTGACTGTCAATTGGCCACAGTTGACTTTTTCCCCAATACAGTTGATTTCTAGGTCAACTGTCCAATTGATTGGGCAAAATTTGGAATCAAGACTTGAAACTTGATGTGGATAAACTTGGGAGTCCAATATGAAGCATGAGAGTCATCTTAGGCATTTTTGGTCAAAACATCTTTGTGCAAACACAAACCCTAATTTGGGTCAACAGTGCAAGGAGAAGTCTTGAGCAGATGAAACCCTAACTGGATCCTGAGTTTCAAGGGCCTTGTGATGAGAAATTATTGAGAAAATGGGAGGGCAAATTTTGGGGTACAACAGATCCAGATTCAGATGTCATTCTATCACTATTTCAAATAAAGTCCAGATACGATCCAGATTCGGATGTCATTCTGTCACTCATGTTTCAGATACGCTCCAGATGCAGACACAATTCTGACAATCATCCAGTTCTAGCTTATAGATACAGTCCAACATCTCCAGATGGCATCTATAAGCCCATCCTCCTACCAACAATCTCCAAATAGCATCTATAAGCCCATTCCCGACATCACATTGCTGATACTACACCATGCGAGTGCAAATTTCTGGGCACTTTAGTGTTCAGTCATCTTCCACCTTCGGATCACGAAAGACACACAAGCCAATCTACATCCTCAGGTTTAAGAAGATTGAACAAGGGAAACTGTTGTACCCCAAAATTTTCCCTCCCATATTCCTCAAGATTTGTCAAGAATAATCTTCAAATTACTGAAGATGGCTCAAGAGGTAGACAGTCAAACCATCTCCTAAGACAGCTGAAATTAGGGTTTTGGTTCTTTCAAGGAATTTGGGGTTTTCAATGGTTCAATCAAGTCTCATAAGCCTATATACATTCTCAAGCACCTACATGCCAAGTTTCAAGACTCACAGTGCCAATTTTCACAGTCAAAAGCTCCATTTGATCTACAGTCAACTACAAGGGCAAAATGGTCATTTTGCAGTCAAAAGTCAGAATTTTTGGTCAACATCTTATTTTGAGTTCACAATCATCATTTGATCAAGTCTTGATCATGATTCCACAAGAATAGCTCAAAAATCATCAAGATGCAAAAGTTACTATTTTTGGACAGCAGAAAAGTCAATTGTACTTTGACAAGGGCATAACTTTTTCATGGTTTGTCAGAAAAATTCCATCCAAAGATCATTTTGAATAGGATGCAATTTCCTACAATCCATCTTCACACTCCAAGATCAATAAATGCTCTCACAAGAAGTTACCAATTTTTACATTATAGGTCAATTTCAAAAGTCAACAAAAGTACACTTTGAGCCAAAGGCCATACACTCAAGAGCTTTCCAAAATGTCCAAGAACATGGTCATATGATCAAAATTGAGCAAGTTGTGCATTGGAGAAGTTGGGAAATTTTCATGAATTTGCAAAAGTCAACTTTGCTCAAAACACCTTATTTTTGCTAATGGGCCTCAAATCTCTTCTTGAAACTTCACCCATGACCTATGCACGACCCACCAAGCTAAATGGGATTTATTTTCTTATTTTTATTGATTAATTGGATTTTTAATACATATTAATTCATTTAATTAACTAAAATCATAAGAAAATACAAGATTTGATTTTTAAATCAATTTGTGAACCAAATATGATCAAAACATGCTGGCAAATTCGTGCACAAGTCAAAGATACAAAAAAAATCCAATTTTGGCAACTTTGTTCAATCATGAAAAATCAAGAATATTTGATTATCAATCAAAGATTTAAACATCAATGCACATGGATTTTTGCCCAGCTTTTAACCTAATTTGATTCTCCTATATGTATGCAAGCAAACCATGACCTAGTGGAGGTGAAAAAGCTGCAGAAACGGCCATAGCAAATTCAAGAAATTTCAAGAAAAGTGAAAACCTGTTCTTGCAATCTAGGCTAATTCAAGGTGTTTTGACCATTCAAATACGTTGTAGGAGGTTCCAGGAACGATTTGCAATCGAATTCACGCACTAAAGCTCAAGGAATCACTGAATATAGTTTCACGGTTTGCACTTTTGATTCCAAATCGTAACTCTTAATTCATATGCATTTAACATGTTTTTATGATTGTTTTGCATTGCTAGAGACCATACAAAGCTAATGGAATGGTTGAATTGAACTATGGTCCCCTGAATCGTGAGATGCCATGATCATATTTCTAGGGTTTTCAAGCTTTAAATTAGGGCGTTCTGAACCAGGAAAAATTGGGACCAGTGAGATACATGACTGAAATCGTGAGACCAAGACGAACACAACCCACACCTCACGAAACATTTATATTCACAGTGCTTCTAATCGCTATTTTTCCTTGCAGGATGTAGTGGGGGTTAAAAACCCCCGCTATCTGATTCTAATCATACAGAAAAAAGGTTGAAGACGATGATGTGTTGACATCCCATTGGCTTATTTGAAAAGCGCGCGTTTTAATTTTTTTTATTCACATCACGTTGATTGTTTGACATATAGTAATTGCCTATTATTCCACTAACAAATTAAACAGGTTGGTGGAGTGGCTGGGGCGTTGGCATGTGAACGTTGGGACCTGGGTTCGAATCCCAGGTCCCCCAAAACATTTATTCTATTTTGCTTCATATATTCACATGCAGATTTCAAAAGGGATGTCTACCATATGCTTCAAACCTCAACACGCCAGGTGTCTCCAAGCCTGGATCCAGTGGTCAAAGTTGAAGGACCACCATACTCCCTGGTCAGCGCATGCGTAGCAAACTCAGAAAGTCAAACAGGATAATGAATAATGGGCCATGAATTGCCAAACACACCACAGAATTGGGCCCAACACCCCCCTTCAAGTTTATTTCTTTTCTTTTCTTTTTTATTTCTTTCATTTAATTATTTTTATAATTATTATTTTCACTAACAAATTAATATTTCTTTTCATAATGAAAATCAGAAAACATAAAAAATATAATATTTTTATTTATTAAATTTAATTAGTTATTTTTGTAAATAAATAAGTAATTAATTAATTTAGTTTTAAGGGTTAATACCTATTTTCACCCCTGACATATGGGGTGTATTTGAAAAACCCCCTGCCAAAAAAAAAGTTCCAATTGTTACCTTGACAAATTTTAAAAGTTTCAGTTTTTACCTTGAGGATGCCACATCACCTAAAAGGATGATGTGGCTTATATTTTTGTTACATTTGTATGTTTTTGTTATGCCATGTCACACAATACCAAATAAAATGTCCAGAATGCCCTTTTCTTAAAATCCCAAATTATTTGGCAAATGTTATGTTTCAATTCAGACCCTCAAAATTAGGGCGCAACCATCCATCTTCATTTGTTTGCAAAATTATTTTACAAAAAAAGCCAGTTTCAATTCAGACCCTGCGATTAGGGTTCTTCATCCTTGCAAATGGGTGTGTTTAATTTAGTGTTTCATCATGGGGGAAGTTTCGTGCAAGACGGCCATACGTATTATAGAGGAGGTAGTGAGACTACTGTTGAAGGTCAGGACGAAGATAAATGGTGCTTTTTTGAAGCTATTAGTCTGGTTAAAGATTGGGGTTATGAAGGTTTTAGGCTATGGAGAAAGATTCTGCAAACGGATGAAGGGTTTACAAATGTTGTTGATGATGCAGGAGCTGTAGAAGTTGCTAATCATTGTATGTCTTGTAGGGTTCACGACGATCTTTGGGTAGAGCACGGTTTAGAAGACATGATGACCAAGGTTCTGGTACCTAATGTTGATGACTTCAGCACCTCTAGTGGAGATGATAGTACTGGTGACTATGTTGATGCAAGCCAATGTTTCAATGACAGTGAAGAGGAAAGAGTAATTGACGTAGAAGAAGAGCAATTTGAACAAGTGGAGGTAGCTGTTCCAGTTAGTGGGAATAGGGTGGAGATCGAAGGGAAATCATTGAGATTCAAGCGTTGTGCATCCAAGGATCCCAAAAAGATGAAAGAAAAGAGCAAAAGGGACAAGGTCAGTGTTTTGGTGCCCAAAAGTGTCTTAGGATCTTGTTCAAAGAGGGCTACAAGGAAATGTGAAGATGTGGATTATGCTAGTGAGGAACTTGAAAGTTCAGATGCTGATGAAAGTGACATGGATGACAAACCTTCCAAGCCAAAGTATGAGAAGTTCAGATCAGAGCTGCTTAACAAAGACTTTCAATTCAAATTAGGTATGGAGTTCATTTATCTTTCTGAATTTAAAGATGCTATCAGGGATTGGTCAGTATTAAATGGTAGAGAAATAAGGTTTGTTAAGAATAAGAGTTGTAGGGTTAGGGTTGAGTGTAAGAGTAAATGTGGGTTTTTGGCATTGTGTAGCAAAGTGGGAGGTAGCCTCACTTACCAGATAAAGACTTGGGTGGGGACCCACACATGTGCAAGGGTATTAAATAACAAGTCTGCCAATTCCAAGTGGGTCTCTAAGTTAGTGGTTGAAAAGAGGAAGTCACAAGGGAAAGTTAAACTGTCTGAAATTATGTCTGAGCTTAGACAGAAATATTCAGTGGGCATTACCAAAGGGAAAGCTTGGAGAGCCAAAGCTATGGCTGAAGAAATAATTGAAGGTGATGCAAAGGAACAGTATAACATGTTAAGGAGATATGCAGCTGAGTTGAGAAAACATTATGCTGGGAACACTGTCAAACTAAATACTGAGAGACCACATCCAACACTACCACTAAGATTTGGTAGATTTTACTTCTGTTTTGATGGATGCAATAAAGGGTTTACCAAGGGTTGTAGACCATTTATAGGGGTAGATGGGTGTCATCTTAAGACACAATATGGAGGTTAGTTGTTAATTGTTGTAGCAAGGGACCCGAATGACCAATATTATCCTTTGGCATTTGGTGTGGTGGAGACTGAGACAAAAGAAAGCTGGAGATGGTTTATGCAATTGCTAATGGAAGACATTGGAGAAGAGAGAAAGTATGTTTTTATTTCAGACCAACAAAAGGTACAAATATGCACTAATTACCTTTGTTATTCACATTTATGAAACATGCACTAATTCTGCACTAATATGCACTAATTCTGCTACTGTAGTATGTCTTAATTCTGGTACTGAAGTATGTCTAATTCTGCACTAATATGCACTATTACCTTTGTGACATAGTTCTGGTTTATACAAAGTGCACTAATTCTGGTTTATTTGCATAGTTCTGGTTTAGTTGCATATTTCTGGTTTATTTCCCTATATGCACTACTTAATTCTGGTACTGAAGTTCTTCATGAAATATCTTACCTTTGTGCCATAGTTCTGGTTTATACAAAGTGCACTAATTCTGTATGCACTAATTCTGTATGCATTAATTCTGTATGCATTAATTCTGGTTTATACAAAGTACACTAATTCTGTATGCACTAATTCTGTATGCATTAATTCTGTATGCATTAATTCTGGTTTATACAAAGTGCACTAATTTTGTATGCACTAATTCTGTATGCACTAATCCTGTATGCATTAATTCTGGTACTGAAGTATGCACTAATTTGGTACTGAAGTATGCATTAATTATGTACCATAGAACTGAAGTATTAATTCTGTACCATAGAACTGTAGCATTAATTCTGGTGCTAATGTTCAACATTTATCAGAACCTGCTGCTAATGTTACATGCCTTGTTCTGTTGCTAATGTTCAACATTTATGAGGAATATATAAGTTGCTAATGTACATGCTTTTTTCTATTGTCTTGCTGTTTTTAGGGACTTGTTAGTGTCTTTAAGGAAATGCATCAGCAAGTTGAACACAGGGTCTGCCTCAGACACCTGTATGCAAATTTCAAGAAGAAATTTGGAGGGGGAGCTGCCATTAGAGACCTGTTATTGGGGGCTGCAAAGGCTACTTACTTCCAGGCTTGGGAGAAGAAGATGAATCAGCTTAAACAAATTGATAAGAAGGCATGGGAATGGCTGATGGGAGTGCCAACAAAACTATGGTGTAAGCATTCATTTTCATTTTACCCTAAGTGTGATGTTTTGATGAATAACTTGAGTGAATCTTTCAATAGTACAATATTACAAGCTAGGGATAAGCCAATACTCACTATGGTAGAATGGATTAGGAACTACGTGATGAATAGGATTGCTAATAGTGTTGTTAAGCTTGATAAGTGGAAGCACAATGTCATGCCTAATCCTAGGAAAAGGCTTGATAAGGAAACATATCTTAGTGGAGAATGGCTGCCTACATGGAGCAGTGGTGATTTGTGGCAAGTCCATCACCCATATAATGGATTGGAGTTTGTTGTTGATATTGGGAAAAAAACCTGTACTTGTTGTTTTTGGGATCTTGTAGGCATGTTGTTTCTGCATTACAGTATCAAAACTTAGATCCTGAGAAATATGTTGACCCTTGTTACATGAGAGAAGCTTACAGGGCATGTTATGAAAACAATGTTAGTCCAATAAATGGCATGGACATGTGGCCAACTGTGGATGCTGAAGAATTGTTGCCACCACAATACAAGAAGGGACCTGGAAGGCCTAAGAAACTGAGGTTTAGAGAGTTGGATGAGAATGGTTCAAGGATGAGGAGGGTAGGTGTAGCATATAGATGCACGCATTGTGACAAATTTGGCCATAATTCTAGGAAGTGTCAAGCTAAGGAGAAAGATCCTAATGCACTAAAGAGAAAGGTATTGTGTTCATGAATCTGTTACTGAATAATATTGTGTTCAGCATATTGAAATGTCTTTATTTATATCTGTTTCTGAATAATGCAGAGAAAGACACCCAGGACCAAAGTGTCAAAAAAATCTGATGGGACTGTGGATGAAGGCCCAGAGATGGATGCAAATGTTGATACAACTGCAACTGGAGGTGGAACTGTGGATGAAGACCCAGAGATGGATGCAAATGTTGATACAACTGCAACTGGAGGTGGAACTGTGGATGAAGACCCAGAGATGGATGCAAATGTTGATACAACTGCAATTGGAGGTGGAATTGTGGATGAAGGCCCAGAGATGGATGCAAATGTTGATACAACTGAAACTGGAGGTGGAACTGTGGATGAAGGCCCAGAGATGGATGCATTGCTGAATAATATGATGGATCTTTATGAAGAACAACAATCACAAGTTGACAATCCCACACAACCTACTGCTATGCAACCTCCCCCAACACATGAATCACAACCTGCTGCAATGCAACCTCCCCTAACACATGATTCACAACCTGCTGCAATGCAACCTGGCCCTGCTGCTACTAATGTCAAAAAACCTTCAGCTAGGAAAAAGGCTGTGGCCGTGCCTTGGAAGAGATCAAGAAAGAGAGTCAGTGAAAGATTGAAGGAAGTGAGGAATGCCAAAAGACATGGTGGGCCTGGATCAACACCTGATGCACCTTTGACCATAGGTGAAGAAACTGGTGGTAGTACCTCAAAGAAGATATCAAGGAAGAAGAGGAAGGGCATTGATCAGTAGTTGTGCACATAGTGTGCTATTTTGTAAAATTCAATTTGAAAGTTTCCTGTGTCATTTTGTTACTTTGACTTATTATCAGAACATGCTTGGCTTAAGTTATGTATCATGTTATTGTCATTTTGTATCACAGATGTACTTGACTATGTATCACAACAGATTTTCTTGACAATGTTAAAGTCATTTTGTATCACAGATGTACTTGACTATGTATCACAACAGATTTGCTTAACAATGTTAAAGTCATTTTGTACAACAGATTTGCTTGCCTATGTATCACAACAGATTTGCTTAACAATGTTAAAGTCATTTTGTACAACAGATTTGCTTGACTATGTATCACAACAGACTTGCTTAACAATGTTAAAGTCATTTTGTACAACAGATTTGCTTGACTATGTATCACAACAGATTGGCTTAACTATGTTATTGTCATTTTGTACAACAGATTTGCTTAAGAACAGAATTACTTAACAACAGATTTGCTTAACAATAGATTTTGTACAACAGAATTACTCAACAGGATTGCTTAAGAACAGATTTCCAAAATATCAGAACAGATTTCCAAAATATTCCAAAACAGTTTTACTTAACAATATATCAGAACAGCCTTACACAAATATATTCCATAAGAAACCATAAGAAAGAAATATATTCCATATTCCATAACTCAACTAACCAAAACTCATGAGAGTAATATATTCCATATTCCATAACAAAGAAATATAATTCATGAACTAAATTTTACATAGGTTACAACTTCCTAGAACATAAGCCACAGCTTCATGAATTTTTACATGAACTAAGTAAGAAATGAACCAAAAGACAAATAAACCCAACTAAAACATAATTCAGCTTCTTTTTTAACTCATCCATTTTTCTCCATGGCTTCCATCTTCAGTGCGATATCTCTCTCCAGTTTGCTCATCAGAATGGCCGTTATCACCGAAATCATCAGAAAATTCATCATCCCAAACAAATGCGTTGCAGTCATCTCCTTTACCCCAGAACTTACACTTCCAGTATTTTCTCCCGGGATTTGCAACCGATTTTGAAACAAATAACTTCATGGAGACATTGTGGCCGCATTTGGGAGTTACTCTACCATTTGAAGATAAGCTTGAAGTAGAACAATTTGGTTGACTCATGTTTATGAAATCAAAGAAAACTTAAAGATGAAGAGGAAAGCAAAAGTTGAGTTGCTGAGATGAAGATGGTTGTGCCCTAATTTGGAGGGTCTGAATTGAAACATAGCATTTGCCAAATAATTTGAGATTTTAAGAAAAATGTAGAAAGGGCATTCTGGACATTTTATTTGGTATTGTGTGACATGGCATAACAAAAACTTACAAATGTAACAAAAATATAAGCCACATCAGCCTTTTAGGTGATGTGGCATCCTCAAGGTAAAAACTGAAACTTTTAAAATTTGTCAAGGTAACAATTGGAACTTTTTTTTGGCAGGGGTTTTTCAAATACACCCCATATGTCAGGGGTGAAAATAGGTATTAACCCTAGTTTTAATTAGGTTAATTTTAATATTTTTGCAATAATTTAAAATCAATGTAGAATTAGGGTTTTTTAATAACTTTTGACCATCTTTTATTTTATTTTCCTTAAAAAATATAAAAGACATAAAAAAATATCTTTCTTTTATTTAATTAATTAATTAGTCTAGGTTTAATTTAATTAAATGCAAAATAACAAAAACCTCCTTCTTTCCTAAAAAAGGGTCAAAACCCTAAAAACTCTCCGATCCAATTTTTCTCGCGCATGTGATTATTCTTGATTCATATTTTGATCCATATTATGTATTTGCTCCGAGGATGTAATAGCTTTAATTAGGACCTTTTTATTGCTTTTATTTATTTTCCGCAATTTACTTTTTCAAGGGTTTGTTTTTGGCCTTGTAATAGCTTAGTTTTATTTTCCGCAACTATTAACTTCTAGATGTATGCTAACTAGGCTATGCATGTCAAGATCTCTCTTAATTTAAAATCAACCATAGCTCACCATCACATGTACAAAGATAACATAACTGAAACCTGACACACTCGCACATGCCACTCTTAGGGTACGCCTCACTTGGTTGCCTCGACGTGGTCATTAAGTATAGGAAGTTTTAGAGGTCGCCCTCCTGTCTAAAGATCAAAGTTGCCTCGAAACGGTTGCCTCGATAAAAAATGATCGAAGACATTAGGGTTACCGCTAAGGCGTCCTAACGTTGCTTTAGTGACCACACATCCCTAAAATCGAATTGACCCGAAAACTCCAACGACGGTGCTACTTACTCCTCAATAGTGGGATAGAACTGTCTAAAGGACATTTACACAACTTAATTCCTTTTGAGTAGGTAGAGGTTCTCAGGTACTTGCTCTTTCAAAACAAAACAATCTTTCGCACTTACACTTTTCGAACAAAGTTTTCAACAACACTTCATACACTCTTGAGGACATAAACAAGAGTTAAATCGAAGTTTTCAAACAAAACTCTTTTCAAAACCCACAAACACAAGAAAAGAAAAACTTTTTTGAAAACACAATGAGCAAGTACCTAAGAGCCAGTGGATAACCACGGATAGAAAGGGTGCTAACACCTTCCCTTTCTATAATCTACCTCCCGAACCCGAGAAACATCTCGAAAAGGAATTTTTCTGTGCTTTTGTCCTTTCCTGGTTGGATAAAATAAAAGACGGTGGCGACTCTTGCTTACCGCGACATTTTGCGAAGCGCAAATGCGAACCAGCATTTCAAAACAGTCAGTTCTATTTCCACCGATCACAGATAGCAACAATGACTTGGACAACTGGATCTTCCCGACTGCTGACAAAAGGCTCACCAACTGAACAATAGAAGACTTTGTACGAATCTCCTTTAGTCAGGACTAACTTCCATTTTCTGTTTTCTATTTCCAAGTTTTTTAATGTAATTTAAACAATAACTTTAAGCCATGTGCCTTACCCGCGGCACAACGGTCCATTTGTTAGGGTTATAATCTTTCATCCACATATTTTCATTTAATAAATCATTGGACGTTTACATTCAAATTTTGCGATCTTTGTATTTCTTTTACTTTATTGCTTTCAAAATAGCTATGTGTTCTTATACACACCCATATAACAAATTGTAAATCCACATCCACTCTGGATCCTATTGATAACAATCCTGATATTGCCAATTATGACTTTGAAAATATGATCTACCAAGCCGAGGACGAAGGTGAGGAAGATTGTGAAGTGCCTGGAGAATATGCTAGACTATTAAAACAAGAAGAAATAGATAACAACCGCATCAAGATCTAGTCGAGGTTGTGAACTTGGGTACTGAAGAAGACAAGAAAGAAATCAAGATAGGTGCCAACTTAGAGGACAATGTCAAAAAGAGATTAATCTAGATGTTGTATGACTATGTTAAGATCTTTGCTTGGCCGTACGAAGACATGCCAGGGATTGATACTAATATTGTGGTTCACCTTCTATCAATGAAGGAAGGTTGTCCCCCTGTAAAGCAGAAGGTTCATTGTATGTGTCCCGAGATGTATGAAAAGATCAAGGCTGAGGTTATGAAACAATTCAATGCAGGTTTCTTAGTTGTTACGTCCTATCCTCAGTGGGTTACAAATGTGGTATAAATACCTAAGAAAGATGGTAAGGCGCGTATGTGTATAGACTACAGGGATCTGAATAGGGCAAGCCCCAAAGATGACTTTCCGCTTCCATATATTGATGTTTTGGTTGACAACACCACTCAATACAAAGTATTTTCCTTTATGGATGGTGTGATCGGTGGATCTGGAACTGACTGTTTAACGCTGGTTCGCGAAATGTCGCGGAAGCAAGAGTCGCCACTGTCTTTTATTTTCTCCAAAGGGAAAGGACAAAAGCACAGAAAAATTCCTTAAAGAGATTGCTCTCGGTTCGGGAGGTAGATTATAGAAAGGGAAGGTGTTAGCACCCTTTCTATCCATGGTTATCCATGGGCTCTTAGATACTTGCTCACTTGTGTTTTCAAAAATGGTTTGTTTGCTTTTCAATTGTGGGTTTTAAAAAAGTCTATTTGAAAATTTCCATTCGACTCTTGTATCGGTCCTCAAGAGTGTTTGAAAAATTGCTTTCGGAAGCTTTTTTTGAAAAGGTGTCGGTGCGAAAAGTATTTTTGATTTGTTTTTGAATTTAGAGCAAGTATCTAGAGTCGTCTACCTACCCTAAGGAATTCGTCTGTGTAGATGTCCTTTAAAGTAGTGCCATCCCACCATTGAGAGGTAGGTAGCACCACCGTTGGAGGTGTTCGGGTCAATTCGAGGTTCGGGACATGGTGATCACCAGAGCAATAGGAAGATACCTTAGAATCTACCCTCATGCCAGGTTCCCGGATCATGAGGACTTACTAAAACATCCTCTACTCGACGATCACCTTTCGAGAGGCAAGGCAACAGTGAAGCGTACCCTAGGGGTGGTGTGTGATTTGTGTGCCATTTTCAGATATTTTTTGTCTTGTTCATGTCGGGTGATCTACGCTTTTGTTTTTATTTTAACATTCATTCTTGCATGCAATTTATTAGCAATTAAAAAGTTGCGAGAAATATAAAGTTCCTAAACTATTACAAAGGCGCGGGTCCACATCGCCAAATTAAATCCAAGACCCGATTTGACATAAAATAAAGTGCAAAAGATAAATATCAAATTTACACGGCTTTGGGAGAATTACATAAAAAGAGGAAATAAAATAAGCGCGCGAATTGGAATTACGATCGAATGCGAGGGCGTTGGACCCTTTTTTTAATGAAATTAAACTACGATTAACAAATTAATTAAAATAAAATAAAAAAGAAAAGACTTTTGAGTTTTTGTATTTATAGATTTTTAATAAGAGAATTAAATGAAACTAAGAAATTAATTAACCCTAATTCTAACTATTTTTATTTATTAAGAAAAAATATTAAAATTGAACCTAAAATTAAACCTAATTAATTAATGCAATTTTATTCACAAGGAAATAATTAAT